GAAGACTGCAGTGTGGGGAACCTTTGCGCATCACTGGCTGCTCGAGATGGAAACACTGAAGGGTACTCACTTCCCATGGGTCCCTGTCATCTTGTTGGAGTACACACTCACCACAACTCATGTCGAACAAATCATCTGAAGAATTTCTTTGCAAGTATCCAAGGGAATAATGGAATAAGTGTGACATGAAAGCAGGGAAGAGGACTGTGTGTGGGGAGAAAGAGACCAGAAGAGGACAGGATCATGGAGGGAGATGGATGAGAATGAAGTATAATGACACACACATATGCAAACACATCAGTGAAACCTGTTGGTTTATGTCTTAACTCGCTACTCTCACAAAGAACTTCAGCCAACTAAGGAAGGCAGGAGAGCAGGAGAAATAGTCTGCCCCAGAGAAGAGCACTTGGTTATCCAAAACCAAATGGTCAGCCCTGAAAATACACAGCCTGAACAGGTTATATATAGAATATATAAGCATATGCATGTAGCAGGAACTAAGGAAAAAAGACCATAATTTCAAAGAGAGCAAGGAAGGATATATGGGAGGGCTTGAAGGGAGGAAAGGGAAAGGGGAAATAATGTAATTATATTATAATCTCAAAAATAAATAATGCAAAATCTTTAGATCAATTTTTAAAAAAAAAAAAATCAAGAAAAATTAGCACAAAGTGTTACCAAATTAGAACTTGTAGATTTGGTGAACATTTGCAGAAGCTTCTGTGTTAGCTTCCTGAAATCATTTTTACTTGTAGCAAATGCAGGGTCTACTGGAAATGTGAGAGAGCAAGACAGCAAGCACTTGTTTGATTAGTTGATTTAGTGGTTGCCGGCAGTAACTACGCTGAAATGTAACTGTCCTTGATAATCTGATGAACTGTTACCAAATGTAATCAGATGTTCATCAACCTAGAAGCTGCAATTTCATACCAGCCTTTCTGGACACCTAGATTTTAGGCTAACACATGAAAATTAGCCAATGAAAGAATGGGTCTGGGTGAAGCTGATCTCATAAAACAGACACTAACCAGGTTCTCCTTGGAAACTTCCAGTATCCTCAGGAACCTGCTGACACCCATAGATTTTCATCGTTCTCTTCATTTCTCCTAAGCCATTTGCTTTAGAGGTTCTTGGTTAGGACAAGGGAGACGAACCTGTCACAAGGCTCAAGTTCAAGGGACTGACTATTAATAGTTAGACTGTAAGGGGCTGGAAAGATGGCTCAGTGGTTAAGTGGCTGCTCTTCCAGAGGCCCTGGGTTCAGTTCTCATAGTCATTTATAATCCCAGTTCCTGGGGATCCCATGCCCTCTCCTGGCCTCTGCAGACACAAGGCGTGCACCTAGTGCACAGATGCACAGACAGGCAGAACGCCCGTGTTCATAGAATAGAAATAAGTAAACCTTAAAAAAAAACATAAATAGAAAATAAGGAATGGTGGGCAGTGAAAACGCTTTCTTGAAGAGGTAGAATCTGTGTAATGTATGTATGTGGCTCTGAATTGCTGCTGTGTTTTCATTGTCCATTGGTCTGGCTTTCACACTGTTTCTCATAGAAGTACCCAGTGGAGACTGTGCTAAGATCAGTGTACCAATTCTGTTTCTGTAAGTGGCTCTGAGGGCAATCTGCGCTTAACAGACTTAAAGGATGTGCCATTGCTCCCAAAGCGGGGGTTTCTAGACCAGCTTTAAACAGTCTTTTAGTGCATTAATTAATACTGTGTCCGTTTGCATGTGTCTCATCACTCTTCCTTGGCATGGTTGATTTATTTTTATAGTACTTTTGTGTGCCAAGGGCAAATTAGGCCGTTCCCTAGAGAAGAAATCTGCTCGTTCTATTCTTAACTTTGTTTGAGATTGCCCAATCATCTCTGTTCTTCATTGTCTTGGTCAAGTGGTGACTAAAGAGCGTTCAAAATGCCCCAAGATAGACCTGAATTGGATTGCTAAGATCATTCTCATGTGTGGAGTCCCACTCGTTTTCAAAACAATAACTGGTGGAAATAAATTCAAAGGCAAGAATTGCTCTGAAGAAAGCTGCAAGGTTGTTTTGCTATGCTCCTGCAAGGCACTTTCGTTAGGTCATAGATGTTCCACGAGCTACTGCAAGAGTCTTTTTGAAAGAGCCTTGTCTTTATTTAGCAAACAAAGAGCTCTTATTAATGGTTCTAAACTATTCTTTTTGAATGTTGTTCTGGCACCTGAGTGGGGTGGGGTGGGCATGGATTGTTTCTGTGAGCTACACCTCCCATTTTCCATCGCTTCCCTATGCTTCCATTTCAGGAATAAAGGCCATTTCTTTCTCTCTTTTTAAAAAATATTTTATTTTATGCACATCGGTGTTTTGTCCACATGCATGTCTGTGTGAGGGCATCAGATCCCTGGAACTGGAGTTACAGACAGTTGTGAGCTGCCATGTGGGTGCTGGGAATTGAACCCAGGTCCTCTGGAAGATCAGCCAGTGTTCTTAACCCCTGAGCCATCTCTCCAGCCCCTAGAGGCTATTTCTTACAAAATGGGCCTGAGATTAAAACCCAAACTTTGGGCTTGATCATCTTCAGTCACTTCATACAGCTTCTCCAGATGAGAACTATCTCCCCTTGGCTGGAACCGTTTATACCTTTATGTGAAGGAGACAGTCTTCCCCTTTATGTGAAGGAGACAGTCTTCCCCTTCATGTGAAGGAGACAGTCTTCCCCTTGTTGCAGAGTCTTGCGGGTCTCCTTGCTCCCCCACGTCACGCCCCAGGAGCAGGATGGAGGTTTTTAGATACTTTCCCCAACCAGGGAGAGAAATGGATGGCTTTAGAGTAAACACCTAACATTTTCCCAACAATTTGATGTATTTGTTGAATCTAACGAAATATTTTATTATTTGGTAATGTCTTCTGTGTATGCCATGTATTTTGGTCATCTTCATCCCCTGTTAGCTTCTCTGCTCCTCTTCCCACTTCTTCTGGGCCCTTCTCCCAACAAACCCCTCCTACATTGACGCCGTGTGTGTGTGTGTGTGTGTGTGTGTGTGTGTGTGTGTGTGTGTGTATGTCTATGTGTGAGTGTATATCTGTGTGTGTGTATGTATGTGTGTGTATGTCTATGTGTGAGTGTGTGAATATGTGTCTGTGTGAGTGTGTGAAGTGTGTGCATATGTACAGGCACACATTTGGAGGCTAGAAGATGTCAGGTATCCTGCTCTATCACTCTCGGCCTTGATCCTCGAGACAGAATCTCACACTGAACCTGGAACTTGGCTGACAGCCAGCAATCCCTGCCATCCCCCAGGGCCTGCCGCACCTCATGCCTGACTTGCCAGGTACTGGGTTATAGCGCCTATGTAACCTTGTCCAACTTGTACGTGGGTGCTGAGGATTTGAACTCAGATCCTCACGTTTTCACAGCAAGCAATGTTACACGTGGAGCCATCTTCTCAGCTTCCAGTGACAAGTTTCATGTTCAGATATAAATCTTCTCATCTCTTAGTTCTGAACCTTTTGATTGTGTTCACTAATGAACTTTATTGAGGCACAGTTTACATACAGAGAAGTGTAAGATGCAGCCATCTCAAGTTTTGACAAACACATATACCTGTGCAACCAGTACTTCCTTCCATCTCTGTCCCACGAGAATGTGGCCTCCTCCTCTGCAGCCTTTCTCTTTCCACCTGCTGTCAAACAGTTTCATTTTTTCTGGGCCTCGCCAGGTTGGTCACCAACCTGCTATAAGTACTTTTGGAAGTAGGTGGACTATGGCAAATTAACCCTTGCAACCAAACAGCTCTAGGTGTTTTTCCTGGGACACCACATCCATTTCATTTATAATAATCCATCTCCAGAAGCATCCCTGCTGCATCTTAGTACTAAAGTTTTATCACAGTTGACACTGGTGATCTGGTATCCTGTGAGATATTGCCAGATAGCCTTAGAAGTTAAGTATCTATTTCAAAGAATCTTTTTAAGCTTGCACATTTGTTCCTCTGTAGATTTTTCCAGTGATTAGCATCTTTGCTAGAAGATAACGTATAGCAAACACCAATTGCTTAGCTACAATACATTTGGAAGCCCATGGTCCTTCTCTCTAGTAACTGGGGCCAATGAAAGTCTGCAGCTGCCCTTCGAACTGTTAGAGCTGGGACCTGTGTGTAGATGCCATAACAGTATCTTGAAGTGACAAGGAGTTTAACCATCTGAACTGAGTATGAGGAAAGCTTGGGCTCTAGGTAGTTGTGCAGATCGCAGTAGCTTGAGTACATTGAAACCTTGTGATACTTTCTTGGAGTTTTCTTCGTTGGAATGGTGAAATAGGAATGTCATCAAGCCAGGTATGCTTGCAAAGCACAGAAGATCCTCTCACAGAGATTGCTTGATGACTTGTGTGGGGGGCGGGGCATCTAGCAGAGACACTGTATGGCAGTGTTACCAGTGTGTTCAATGATGTGGCCTCAGTGCTTGGCATTTCCATGCATTGATCTGGAGAGGGGAATCCATTGTTGCTCCTTTGTTTGACTTTAAAATTTTAATGGTACAAGTCACTGCATGTTTGTTACTATTTTAAACTTAACAGGTAAGAAAACTGCTAACTCAAAGTCTCCCGTTTGTATCATAGTCACATGTACTTAAGAAAAAGAATAACCCAAGTAGGTGTAAGTAAATATCATGTAGGGTCTTGTGTGGGGCCATATAGTTTGCCTTTTGCCTCAGTTGGCAGTAGAGGGACGTTATAGTACATGAGGGTCCACTGGATTTGATTCCTTTTTGTTTTATTTAAGGGAAGGCCAGCATACAGTGTCTGCCATGGAGGGAAAACCTTCAAAAGAATATTTGGCTCTTTTCCTGAACATAATTAAATTTCCACTATGCTTTTCTTTGCCAGAAGTTTAATGATTTATATTTAATAATTGAAATGCAATCAGTTCCCCAGGCTTGCTCCTGCTTAATAAAAGAGTCAATGCGTAATGTAAGAAATGGTGGCTCACAGTTTCCTCCTCTTTTTAACTTTCGTTTTAGAACTCAGCCTAAAACCATGTTTGCCCAAGTGGAATCTGATGATGAAGAATCAAAGAATGAACCAGAATGGAAAAAACGAAAAATTTGAAGAATCTCGTTTAAGAGCTGTTTGCATGGAGCAAGAGGATAGGGTGCGGTGTCCCGCCCCACCCCCCAGTGCTTATGAAATAAAAAATACATTTTTTCAAACAGACTTTGTCCTTCCTGTTATTGAGTTGTTTGAAGATTGGTAGATGTTCGCGCTGCTTGCGTTTATGTTTTCTTAACTGCAGTTATTAGACTGTGCTGCATGTAAACAGACTTAGCCGATTACTAGGTATTGAGACTTTAACAATTACTGATCTTGTACAGATTCCCATAACCTTAGAGGGGGAAATGTATGACGAGATATTTAATCTAGGAACATAATGTGGAAACAGAGAATCAAAAAGCTTAATATTTCTGTACAGTGTCACAACCACTGTTTACATGACTGTAAATAATTAGATGAGTTCAAACCAAAGCGTGACTGTGCCAGGAGAGAGCATGTATCTGATTATGTCCTCTGCAGCCTGTGGTGCCTAGGGCTGGGAGTGCATGCTTTGAAGTCGGACTACTGCAGGCACTTGACTTCCTGGGTCTCCCTTCCGGCCTCAGGTGGTAATACTTATCCCATGGGTTTGCCAAGAGGGTTAGATGAAATGCCCATGTGGAGCATTTGGCACATCACCTGGCACATGGTAAATTTATATCAAATATTTGCTATTTTCAAATATGATTAACAATATCACTTTGTCTTACTTTTTGTCAATAGTTAATTAGGATGGAAATGCTTTGTAAAATAAAAGGGCTATATTAATAAAACACATTAAGAATCATTCAGAAGTTATATTTGTGACTGGGCAGTGGTGGTGCATGCCTTTAATACCAGCACTTGAGAGGCAGAAGTAGGTGGGTCTCTGTGAGTTCAAAGCCAGCCTGGTCTTCAGAGCAAGTTCCAGGACAGCCAGGGCTACACAAAGAAACCCTATCTTGGGGGGAAAAAAAGAAGAAGTTATATTTGTGAATAGAAAGTGAAAACAAATGTTGGTAGTTTCTCCAAAGTAATGATGAGTCAATAGAATAAAATTTTATGGTCTAATTTCCCATACACATGGGTCATTTTTGCATGTTAAATAAGCCCCACTAGACAATTGAGTTTTAATACTTGCATTTTACCCTCCTGCTCTCATTTGTTCTAGTGAATTAAGTAATTATAAAATTAATTATAAGCCAAAGTATGCCCCCAAAGTCCTAGATCTACACATTTCATCTCACCCCCTTAAAAAAAAATCTATTTTTAGCAAACTCATACCCAGCTCTTTCATTGCTACAGTTTATAGCATGGAGGTAGCCATTCTATAAACAAATCCTTAGAAACTTCATTCTTGCCCCTTCATCCTCACTTACATCCCATCTCCTTCTCTGTGACTTAAGCTTATAAGGTCACAGGTGATAAGAGAAAGAACTAGTGTCAGCTGCCTGTGGTTGACACGGTAAGTCCTCACCTTGCCTTCTTGCGTTAAATCACTGGATTCCCACAAAGACCTCACGACAGGTACAACCACTAAATCAGTCTATGCAAGGTCACAGCCGTGGAAGGCTGTGTGAAGACTCAGGATCTCTACACAGTAATTAGCAAACGGCCCCAATTTTCCTGTTCCTGTTGAGATGCACTGTGCCTGAAATCAATCTCAGACTAATACTTTGTCCCACATGCTTAGAATTGATAAATTTATTGCATCAAGGATGACGTTTATCAAGAGTTTACCACCTACATCACCACCACCACCACCCCAACCCTAACATAATCATTGCACCCTATGGAAGTTTCAGTCATGTACAGCCAAAGGTTGCTGTGGTGATTGGGGGTAGGCGTAAACATAGTTGTCTTGGCAACATCTGCTCTGATAGAATGGTATTGCTCTCTCACTGTGGTCCACACGTGGGCCTTCCTGTCGTTTCGATTGTCCATGTCACTCTAGAGCTGAAGAGAGAATTATTTCTTCGACAGAAAATTGGCAGGCATTTAAGGATTTTAGTTTTTGAATTTGTTGAGGGAAGGACAGAACCAGGACTGGACAAGTAGTGAGTGTTCATTTGACCTGTAGTCTTGTCACCAACTGCAAGGCTCTCAGAACTCATTACCTGCCACCATGTGTCTATATCCCCTACTGTGATTAACTTGCTCAAAGAAGGAAGCTGGAAGCTGTTATGATGATGCCAACCCCCATTCCTACCTCATTAATTATGTGCCATTTCTGCCCATGCTCTGTGAGTCTCTTACATTTGCCCTTCTCCTACTAAAAATCAGGCCCTCTTTCACTTGGGAGCCTCCTTCATAACTAATCTCTGTTTTTAATCTGGTTCTTCTCTAATTCATCATTTGTGATTAACTTCAAAGTTAAACCAAAGATCTATCTAAACTAAATTTATTCAAATCCAAAACCTGTCATCTGATTTCTTTGCCAAGAACCTTCCAGAGTCAGTAATTTTAATATTTGTGTGGCATAGACTTCCAAGATTCAGCTTCTTGTGTTTTTCTTGTGTAGACTTCTCCTGACGTCACATGTTTCTGAGGTCCAGTACACACATGGTACCCTAACCTTCAACACCTGAGTGGATGTCTTTGCATGTGCTATCCTCTCCCTTTCCTGGCAGCTTAGAGAATTGCATCACCTTCCCTGAGCAATACGCACCCAAGCACAGTCTATTCCTCTGCTCTCATGATTGCTCACAAACCTCTACTATCACCTCCATTTGTACTGCGTTGTGAGTGGAGTAGATATACACGCAGTGGGGTGTGTGTGTGTGTGTACTGGGGAAGAGCATTTGATTATAAAGGGTACTTTGCTGTTCTAAGAAGAATTCTGAATTATCAGAAATTTTATGTTATATTTTAATAAAAGATTTAAAAACAAATTTTTAAAGTACTTCCAGGTGTCCACTTGCAATCATACTCATACAAAAATACTGGGAAAGGGGCCTGGAGAGATGGCTCAGCAGTTAAGAAAATTGGCCACCCTACCAGAGGACCTGATTTTTATTCCCAGCACCCACATGGAGGCTGACAACCATCTATAACTCCAGGAGATCGAATGCCCTCTTCTGCTCTCCATAAACACTAGGCACACAAGTGGTATACAGAAATCTATGCATGCAAAACTCCCACGCACATCAAATAATATGAAAAAAAAATTGAAAAAGTTGGTGATGCTGATATATTTAACATGGCCACAATTCTTTGGCATTCTTCCCAGTTCTACAGCAATTTGACCAGTTGAACATGACCCAAGAGAGGTCCAGGCCTTTAAAAGCTTGCACTTTCTTTCTTTTGGGACCTCTGTTCTGGCAATGTGAGGTAGCTAGGATATGAGAAACGCTAAGGCCCCAAACTGGACAGGAAGTAAAGGCCTGCTGGTCAACAAACCCCAACCAAAGCTCCCTATCTGACCAAACTCCCTCTCTTTTGAGACAGGATCTTGTTATATATCCCAGACTGGCCCAAAACTCACAATCCTGTTGCTCCCACCTAGCTGATGTTGGGATATGGATGTGAGCTACCACATCTGGCTTCTACCCTCTTATGAAGCACATCATTTGGTTCCAGTAGAGTCAGACCAGCTGTGATCACATGGGACAAAGATGAATCAATCCATATGACCAAGATATAAATTGAGCAAAATAAGTGAAAATAGGTGTTATCATTTGAAGCTACTGAGTTGTGAAGGTATGATACAGAAATATAACCTCAACAGCTTTACAGAGTAACTACCCAACCATTAAAATGCAATTAGCATTAATGTTCTGATGAATCAACTCTGAAAATTATATATATATATATATATATATATATCTGAAAGTTTTCCTGTGTCCCACCTGGCCCGAGGTCAGGAAAATCTCTCTCACCCACCAGCCCCCAGCCACTCAGACCCAAATAAACATACATAGGCTAATATTATTTTTAAACTATGGCTAAGGCAGGCTTCTTGTTATCTAGTTCTTATATCTTAAATTACCCCATTTCTATAAATCTATATTTTGCCACATGGCTCGTGCCTTACCAGTACCTTTACATCTTGCTTCTGGCGGTGGCTAGCAGCATCTCCCCTGCTCTGCCTTTCTCCTTCCTCCCATCTGTTTGGGTTCCCCGCCTGCCTCTAAGCTACCTTGCCATAGGCCAAATGGCTTTATTTATCAACCAATCAGAGCAACATATTTTCACAACATAACAGAAAGACATTCCCCCATCACATATTGTTTTTCAAGACAGGGTTCCTCTGTGTAGCTCTGGCTGTCCTGGAACTCACTTTGTAGACCAGGCTGGCCTTGAACTCACAGGGATCTTCCTGCCTCTGCCTCCCAAGTTCTGGGATTAAAGGCATATGCCATCACTGTCTAACTCTGAATATTTTTCTTGAATGTAGTTTTTTTTCTACTACTTAAAGCTTAATTACAATAACACTTAGGAATAAAATGCTTATATTTCACTTGTTAAACATGCAAAATTTACAATACTACAAACTTCATATATAGTTTTAGTAGCCTGTTAATCCATTATGCATGTAACATCTACTTAATTACTCCCCTGTTACTGCAAATATAGATTGTTTTTAAACTGGCTATTCTAGACAATGCTGACTTGAATGGTTCCATGCCTTAAGTGTTTATGATGCTACGATTCTTTTGTTAGAAGCTGATACCAAAAAAGTGGAATCATGGAGCCTCAAGAAGAATACCTCATCTTTGCTAAACACAAGCATTATATTATATTCTAAGTGCTTTGCCAGTGAATGCCCAACTAGCAAGACAGAACATGGTTCTGGGCAATTCTGCTAGCACAGTGCATTGGATAGTGTCCTTCTGGAATCCATGTCCACCCAGAACCTTAGAATATGAGTTTATTTGGAAGAGTCTTTGCAGATATTAAATTAAGATGAGATCATACTAGATTAAGGAAGGTCTGCAATCCAATGGCTAGTGTCCATATAAAAACAGACAGAGCCACGTACACAGAAAATGACCCTGGGGAAACAAAGGAGATGGTGATGTAGCTATAAGTCAAGGAATGCCAAAAGTTGTGGCAACCAACCACAAGTTAGGAAGAGTCAAAGAGGCAAGGAAGGATTCCTCCCTGGAGTTGTAAGAGAAAGTATTTCCCTTCCCGCACCTTGA